AACTTTTATCAGATTCCGAGACGTGGGTCCGGGGGTCGATTTTTGAGTTGACCTTTTGACTTTTGATTAAGAACTTAGTATATTCATATGGAATTGATTCTTTTAGCTCGTGTTGATTGTATCGAATTGTTGCGGCTATATTCGAGGCATTTGGAGGCGGATTCGCGAGGCAAGGGCTTGTTGGAGTAGAGTTTTGCACGGTTTGAGATAAGTAACACTTCTAAACTTAGTTCTGAGGGTATGAAACCCCGATTTACGTGTTATATGATTGGTGTTGAGGTGACGCGCATGCTAGGTGACGGACGTGTGGGAGTGAACCATAGTAATTGTAATTTAGTCGATTCCATTGAACTGTGTAGCTATCTTATCTAAACATTATTGTTGTACTCTAAGTGTTAGAGCACTTGAGTTGTGATTGATGCTAGAAAACATGTTTAGGCTATATGCTGGTACTATTGGGACCCACAATGGTCGATCTTTGTTGTTGAGTTATTTGCTTAATTGTTGTTATGTACTCAGTCGCATTCATTATTGCATATCATATCTCAGTCTTTGTTATCGTATATTGTCACATCTTTTATCATTGATTTGGGCTGCTTAGCATGAGTGTTGTGAGCCCAAGAGACTAGAGAGATTGATGACTGAGTGAGGCCGAGGGCCTGCTTGTGAGTGATATTTATGGGATCGGGTTGCACACCGCAGCAGACTTTATTGATTCATGCCAGGATCTGGCTTATTATAGCGCTTGGGATGGATATTCCCCTCCGAAGTCTGCACACCCATAGTGAGCGCAACTGCTATTGATTCATTTGCATTGGGTTGGATCTGCCCTGAATTTATTTGCATTTGGGCTGGATTTGCCCTGGACTTATTTGCATTTGGGTTGTATCTGCCCTGGGCTGGATCTGCCCCGTACAGTGCTGAGTGTGATAAATGAGAATTGAGACAGTCAGGTTGTGTACTCCGAGAGTGTGAGTACGCGAGGCTTTTGGTGTGTTGCATCACATACGATATGCATATTGAGACATGTAAACATAGAGATGTCATATTCCTTATATCATTCAGACTTGGCATATTTTATCTGTTCTGACTTTAATTGTTAAACCTGGAAGCATGCCTAAATTCTTGTACTGCACCTGCAGATTAGGAATTTCAGAGATATTATTGTCATATTTTCCGTAAATTTTTGTGATGTTAATTTCGTATGTGGGTTGTAATGTTCGTGCCCGTCACTAATTTTAGTCCAAAGGTTAGATTTGTTACTTATTGAGTTGGTTGTACTCACGCTACACCCTGCACTTCGTGTGAAGATCTAGGTATTTCTGGTCACAGCGGTTGCTGATTCATAGAGTTCAGTCATTCGGAGATTATTGAGGTAGCAGCCCTGGCGTCCGCAAACCTTGACTCTCCTCCCCCATCCCTCAGTTTACTTATTCAGTTTCTGTTTTTCTTAGATAGTGTATAAGACTTAGTATTGTATACATTCTCATGTACCCAGTGACACCCTGGTTTTGGAAAAATTTCTGCATTGAGTTATGTCATTTTATCCCGTTTTATGATATTTTCACTTATTTAAACTTGTTTTAGTATACTTTAAATTTGGAAGTGTTAGTAATGTCTGAGTTGTCGGCTTGCCTAGTACCATGATAGGCTCAATCACGACAAGTTGAGTTTTGAATCGTGACATTTATAGTTCTGATTGAATGCGTAGCTGCGCTCCCTTCCTCTTCAGCTCCCGCTTCATTTGACTAGTTGTTGGAATTAGTTATGCACAAGGCAGTGTACCTATGCACAGCTCACGTAGCTGCATTGTTGTTGTGCTATACTTCAATAAGAAGATCATAAAGTCTTGTAGGATATCCAAATGACAAACGGTTTGAAGCATTAAAAATTAAACTCATAGATCTTTAATTTGATAGGTCGTACACCACATAAATCTTCAAATAGTGGGAGTTATGCTCGTTTGAATTTAGGTCTTGTCCAAACTTATTTGAAACTTTAGCCCATCATATAGTTTCCAACTTGATTTAGTCTTAGGCTCTTCTTAGACCATAAATCATTATTAATATACCTTGTGCATATATTACCATAATTATGTTCATATCCTTCATATTATTAGTCTTTGTTCATGCCCGAATTAATATAATTAGCACACGTAAATCTTCTTAATAGCTTTAAAATACTTTAAAAATTTCCAGGGTGTTACATCACCCTTTCCTTTTGTTGATTCACTCCCGACTACAGGATCACAACTTGTTCCTATGTTGTTGACAATTTTGAAGTTCCACCCTGTTTTACTTTCTATTCATGTATTTGCTTATGTGCCGGATCTGTTGAGGTTGTTGATTAGCTCTAGTCTGGAAGCTATGCCCCAATTGTAGGCACTTGGTACTATACACTGGTTTCTAGTCATAATCAACTACCTGATCAAATTGTCTTCCATTGGGATCCTTTAATTTTACCTTTGTGGGCAATGGTGTAGTTATGTCCAATTCCACAAGGATCCTAGCATAGGAGATACGATCAATCTTGGTAGTGCAATCATCCGCATAGATAGGATTACCTAAGCTACTCTTATTTCTGCTCTGTGATTCATTTTCCCAGCAGTTAAAAGGTAAGTTGGGTAGTCTTACTCATAGTGGGATAGTCTTTGGTATCTCTTCATTGAAATCAAAATCTATTGTCCATGCTTTGGTGATGACGGGTTTACTATTGATCATATATGGTCTAGAGTATAGAGCTTTATTGCCTTCATCCAACCTATTAAACTTTACCACAAAAAAAACCATCATTATGGTAATACACTCTAGGCTTAGACACAAAGTTCCACTACGAAGCAATAAACCTTTCAACTGCCCCCTATGCTAGGTGTTTCCCCGACAACATACAAGATTGCTGTCATCCTCTATTTCTTAGTCCCCTTTTCAATATTAGTTTGTTGCAATTCCAATATTTTCTCACCATTTTGTATCGTGAGAGCAATAAAGGTTAAATTCATCCCTCTTGCGGCAAATTTGTTACCCACAACTAGGTTTGCCCATGTCTTTTCTCGTTTATCCATTCCCTATTTCTCTTGAGCTTCAGTTGTCACTTCCTCCCTAGCATCCTGACTGAGTGTAATCCCATTCGTTCCTTATTGGTTAATTGTCTTACCTGCTATACTTTGTTTATACGAGGCTTCAATTACTGTCTTCGGTTTTGATTGAGCTATTGTGTATTGCTAGAGTCGGCTTTCATCGATTGTATGTTTAATTCTCGATTCACCTTGTCACTCTCCATTGATTCCGAGCCTGTGATGACAGTAGGGCTCACTTTCCTGATCGAACCACCCATTGATTTTGGCGTAGATACACCGTCATTGGTTAGGATTCCTAGCGGAGATTTGCCAAATCTAGTTAGTTTCCCTTCAATTGCAATAAAACCCGCAAGCTGCACCTTTACAGCTTTCCTTGCCAGTCTCCCCCTCCCCATTTCCGGCGGGGCGCACATTAGTAGGTACGCTTATCGGACACTTATTTTTCTATACATTTAGTTCTTAACCAAACAATCTTGTTTTTTGAAATATTACATTACTTTTATTGTGATGTACAACTAAATAATATGCTCATATATCATTGAATGTTTCTTGATAGACAATGTTTTCGGCATATATTTTCATCTATATACTATTTTAGTTGATCAAAACTCGTGTTGTCGATATTAAAATCCACTTGATATGCAATTTTTTCCTTTTTCGGAAATTTGATATTTATCTTATTATAAGAATATAAATTTTAATTATTATTACTACTCCAACTTTACCTGTTACATTTTAAATAGCCTAGAAATCTCAATTATTATACTCTAAATTTACCTATCCAATTTCTTAATGCTAGAAAAAAGTTCTGGAGTTTCGTCAATAGACCTATAAATATCTCTTAGAGTTCTTTTTTATTCCATTGATTTTTTCTCCACATTTCTTCGTATCGTTGCCCAATCATTGTTCAATGATCACTTAAATATTCTAAGCGACTTTTTTCCTTTTTAATCTCAGGCCGTTTTGCTTAGGAAGAGAATCGAGGCTAACAACCATGTGATTTTTCTCATTAGCATGTTAGTTCTATTTTACGCATTTATATGGTAAAAAAGCCATTTTCTTGGTAGAAATAAATGTTTTAAGCTAAATATCAAAAAATAATATCTATACATCTATTTTACTTATCAGTGATTAAAAAGCTATATGTATTGTCTGATTTCCCTTTCCCCCTAGTAAATCTACCGAGTATTAAAAACACAAATTAAATAAAGCCAATCAAACGTTGTATTAAATTATAGGGCGGTTTTCGTTCCATACTATCTTTTTTAAAGAATTTATCTTACAAAAATATTTAATAGTCTTAATTATGAGAGTATTTATTTAAATTATTATCTATAACTTTAAAATTTAAGTATCTTACTTAATTTTTTTCTCATCAAATGTCTTACTTAATTAACTTTACACTAATTTAAACAGTAAGGGTAATACTGAAAAATAATAAATATCTTCTTTTTAAGAAAAATTAATTGAAATAAATTACGTTCGCTAAAACATTAGTAATATTTTGGATTAAAGGGAATATTAAATTTTCCATTATCTAGTTAATGAGGTAAACCAAATGAGATTTATAGGCTCTTTGGCCAAGCTTCTCCAAGTTGAAAAGGACTTGTTTTTAAAAAAAAAAAATATTCAAAGTTAAAGTGTTTGACCAAAGCTTTTAGAAGTTGAGTAGAAGTAGAAACAAAGCAGAAAAAACAGTTTCTTCCCAGAAATACTTTTTAAAAGCACTTTTGAGACTAATGTTGCTTAAAAGTATTTTTTTTTCTAATTAATTAGCTAAATATAAACTGTTTTTTGCCAAAAATAATTTTAAAATAAAAAATCTAATTTTTTCATCTTGCCCTAGAGTATTTAATAGGGATGTTATTCTAATGGATTTTATAACACAATAATAAAATCACATGGCTCCACCCCTGGGCACGTTTTCACATCTGATTGAATGTGAACTCCTTTATCTCTTTTTTTTCTCTCTCTCTCGTTTGGAAAAAGACAAAGTTATTCAACTCTCCTGCAACTCTCATCAAACAACATTGCAATTTTTTGAAAAAGCGTCAATTTTGATGAATTTGTATTGAAAAGTATACATATTTTAGTGAATGATTATAGAAGAAGAAGAATGGTAGCATTATGTGGCGGCATATCCCGCGACACATGGGATGGTCTCTCCTTCTTCCCCTGCCTCTCCGACCCCGGTCCGTAAACCTCTTCTTTCCTTTTACGATCCTATTTCTATATATTTATGTTTGTATATTGAGTATACACTGTTTCTACAACACAGTTAGTTCAATTGATATTTCTCAATTATGTATATATTTTTAATTTTTGTTGATTGAATTTAGCTCGGAGATCGACATTTTGCTTGAAAGTAGCACTGGTGATGCTGCACCTGATCTATGCCGGTGTTCTATTTGAATTTGACAAAGACTTGATTCAGAAAACCAAACAAGACCCCTGGTAACAAACATTCTAACTCAGTATTATTGCCTTCATCCCATTAATGGTGTTTGACTAACCACAGTGTTTAAGAGAGAAAGAAAGGATTTTGAAACTTGTGAAAAATAAGCTATGGTTATTTGTGTTGCTATAATTCATCTTATTAAGAATAAAATATAGCAAGTTTAAAGTTAAATTTTTTCTAAATATAGAAATGTATCATTCTTTTTGGACAAACTAAAAAGTAAAGAGTGTGACGTAAATTGTGACGGACGGAGTATTTGTTTCAATCAACATTTAGATGTATATACCAACCTTCAATACTCAAAAATATCACAAAAACATTATCTTTATACCTTTATGATACTTGTAGGATTTTCAACATTTTACTTGCTTGTTTTTGAATAAAGCAGAGAGCTGATTTTGAAGTTGGGGATATTATATGAAGGTGTAAATGACATGGAATTGGTTGAAAGATGCAATCTTGAGCTAAGCAGCAACGTCTTTAAGCTTGACTAGGAAATTGCTTACCAAAGCTTTGTTTTCCAATACTTGCTAATTCTAGCTAATAGTAAGTGATTTAGTTTCAGAGTAGCTGAAGACCATATTGATCAGCAAACGGGAACTTGGGCATAATTGAAATGCCAAGGAGTTCTGTAATTCAATAAGTATCAATCCTTCGATTTAAACTGCTTTAGTGATGATTTTGAGAGAACAAAAGCATTGGCAGATAAACATGTTAAATAGAGTTGGTTGCTGGAACTTCTCCTTTTCAGGGATTAAAAGTGGGTTCTGATGATATATTAAGGAAAACAGTAAGCCTCCAGGGTTGGTGGCGAATGAGTGCAATGAAAGAGAAGGAAACAGGACCTTTAAATCTTAAAGGTAGTCCATGCTCTTTGAAATTTAGGTTTAAATTTTCAGGTGAGCGACAATTAGGTTGTGAGTGGTTAATACGAAATTGGAGAAGTTATAAGGACTTAAAATGCCCCATCTGGTATTGGACACTATAGGATGTGTGGTTAATCAGACTTTTGAGTCAGCTACTTTTTTTCAAGTTAGGATTATACTTTCAGGTGAACTGCAATCATATTACTAGCTAGGGCTAAGTTTTTATGGTTGATAGGGACTACAAAAACTGTAAGATCTGGAGTTGCATATGGTAAAATTGCTTTTCCTCTAGAATTTCATTTTATTGATTTGGTAGAAACCAACTAGTTCTGAAGGACACAATTCATTGTTAATGTGTATATAGGAATGAAGGTTCTCTTGGCTAACATCCTGTGTTATATTAGAAAGTAGAAACTTCTTTCTCTTTCTCTCTCTTGTTTTCTTTTTTTTCTTTTTTGAGAATCTAAAAACTCCATGTTGATGCTCAAATGGATTGTTTTTTCGATTTTGTGGGGTAGAGATCTAGGTTAAATGCCAACGCATAGAAACTTTTAGAACTCTGTAATTATAGGATGTCAAAAAAATCCCTATTGAGTTAGCTGCCAATGCAAAAGTTATATTTCCTTAACTGATCAAAACTTCATGTCTTTGATTATTTTGCTGGATGACTTTTCTTAATATTTCACTTTCTCTGAGGCTCTTTTGATGAAATTGCTCATCACCCTCCTTTTTTGCTTCTAAGGTACACGACAGCGTATTTGCTGTTGCTTGCTGCTACACTGGCTCAGTACTTCATCACCTCTGGTTCTTCTCCTGGGTAATTGGGCTAATGATTTTATTTTTAAGCTAAGCATGTAATAAGTCTTTACTAGCTTAACCCTATTACTTTACTGAAAGGCCTGTAAAAAGTTAATTTTCATGAATATGTAGCTATGTTCTTGATGCAATGAGGGCTGCCAATGAGACAGATGCATCACATAATAGGACATCAATAACCTCAAAGTAAGATATTTTCCCTCTCTGGTTTGTTACATGCAAAATAAATAACTGGAATATAAGGATTTTCTCAAAATAAGGTGGAAAAGAGGTTTATCTAATTTCTGTTGTTTTCTGCCTTTTGTGATGTTATATGATCAAGCAAAGCCAGCCTGCTTCAAGCAAAAATGGCAGTGTAGTTATTACGATCGACAGAAACCAGTTAGAAAAGAATCTTCTTGGGAGTGGTACAACAACATCTTGGGCAAAGCTAGTGATGGATATGTATCCTCCAGGAACATCTGTTAGGTAGGGCTGGCTTGAATATCAGCATGTTTATGCTTTTCTTGTTGTATGTAAAGCAGCTTGAGTGCTTTGTAACTAATATACAGCCTCTACTATGGCTCTATTTGCTTAATCAAGTTCAGTTTTGCATTTAGATTCTGCTTATTTCAAATTTTGTGTGAACCATGGATTTCGAAGTTCGCTGTGAGACTGTGAAATGTGCTTGACAAATTATATTTCATGGTGCTAGTTGGACTAGGAGGATTCTGGCTTCTTAAGTTAAAAAGCTTTTAGTGGTGAAGTAGTATTTATCCCACACTATTCATTTTGAACAATGTGATTACCTGTGGCCTGTGGATGAACAAATTAGCACTTTCAGATATAAATGTTATAGCAAGGTACTCCACTTGGAAACTGCATAGTCCCATGAAGAAGAAAAACTGCTGTATAGCTTACAAGTGAAGCCCTTAATGTGAAGCAGGAGAAGCCTAATCTTGCATTTGTTAACAAATCAAGACATGGTAAAGGAATATTCACACGACCAGCTCATGAGGAGACTTGTTGTGACTCGGTTGTTTAAAGGCATAACTGATGGAATGTAGTATAGCTGCTTGCATTGTGATGGATGGCGATTTCCCTCTCAAGATTCCTCACACTGCATGATTTTGACAAGTTATTAGATGAGTTTGATCAGGAAGCTGATGTAACCCCCTAATATGTCATTAATTCTGTGCGCAATTTGTGTGATTAACCCGTTCTTTCTTGTTCATCGCTTTTAGAAGCAGTTTTCGATGGATTATACAATACTGAATGCTTAACTATTGTTAAAGGTGATATAATTGCACCAACAAATTGGGGAAATGTTGCCATAAGCTGTGCCACTGCAAATTCTTCTTGTCTCTCTTTGATGATGAAGTTTGTATTATCTCTGAGGTTGATGACAGTTTACATTAATAACGATTTTCCCAGTTGGTGGACATATATTTTACCCTATGAATTCAATCTACCAAAATTATTTCCCTTCTATGTTCTTTCATTTCCACCTATTTTAGGTAGAAATCTTACTGTGCGGTTGTGCGGTCATAGATTGCATGATTTTCCTAGTATTATCATCAGGTTTTGCTAACTGATTCTCGTTCTCTTTTCCAGAAGTGTGACGTGCACCTACTGTAATATTATGCAGGTAGAAACTCCTATCTCTGTCTTCCATTTGTATGCAAAGCAAATATTAACCTCAATACCTGCGGATGATTCTTAACGACTTGAAGTATCTTTGGATTAGCCAAATTAGTGACATGATATGCGAGCTATATGCTATGAATCTCTGTGCTATATTTTGGCAGGAAATTAGCTGAATTTTGACCTTAAATGCAATTCTTATATTTTCTCTCTCGTGAATATTACGTATTTCTAAGATATTCCATCCATACAATGGTATACTTTCTTCGAGACTTATCCTACTGTATATACATCCTGAATAAATGTGCAGCTAGTTGTATTAGATAAATGGAACATTGATATTTGATAGTCCAGTCTTGTTTGAACTTTGAATTGGTGAAGTCAAACTTTGTCCTATCTTTTGTGCATATGTTTGTGAAAGAAGCTTGGGTAGTTCTCCTTACTGGGGCACCATGTCTTTACCCTTTTTCTCTTCTTTCTTTGCAACTCCTATGCCAGAGCATGGCATGCTAACATGTATTTCAGCATTCTGTCTTATTGATGCATTTTGGGGATTGTGTCTTGGAGATTTTGTGATCTTGTGTCTGATGTTATTTGAAACTTCAAACTGCTTCCATTTCTTTCAATTTAAGTAAACTTTACGTGGTAAAGATTAGCTATACATTTTAAATCTAATAACCCTGCCAATTAACACATCGCGGTCCTTGTATTTGCACACTCCTACCTAAAATGGATGATCTCTTTTGACAAGCACAAAAACTTAGACACTGTGAAAGATCAAAGAGGTCAAGTTAATAGGAAAAGATTAAAAGAAGTGGGGTAATAACGAGACTTCCATTGATTTGTTAAGTACTTATAACTTGTCCTTTTATGTTTGTTGCAGTTGTGCTAACAATTTCTAAGATTTATGATCTTTATTCTGCTTGATTTTCAGCCTCCACGAGCTAAACATTGTCATGATTGTGACAAATGCGTTCTCCAGTTTGATCATCACTGTGTTTGGCTTGGCACATGCGTAGGACAGGGTAACCATTGCCGGTTTTGGTGAGCAAGCATTACCTAATTTGACACACTCATGATATTTGTTTCTTGCTTGCTGTTCAAGAAAAAGCATTCTTCCAATTCAGTTGAAATCACTAAGTGCACCGGTCAAACACACCCCACCCCCTCCAAAAAAAGAGAAATAAGAAGATCCTCACTCATATGAAGTTTGAAATTGGTGATCCATTTTGTTGATTTTTTATGGTATGTTGGAGCAAGATGGAAATTTGATGTTGCTACGACACAATGGTCATTTATGTTTTAGAAAACTATATGATATAACATAGTACTGTAGCAACAACTATGCCTCAATCCTAAGCTAGTTGGGGTCCGCTATATGAATCATCGCTAACCATAGCACTCCATTTAGATCTGTACTAATCCAATATTTAAAACTTTAGGTTCTCTAGCGTTAGAAATTCTATACATTTTTTACTAACATACATATGCTAGCGTTTGGACATAGATTTGGTTGAAACTTGAAAAAGGAGTTTTTGAAGTTGTGTTGAAAAATAGTTTTTTGAAGTTGAAGTTGTGTTTGGACATGCATTTTATTAGAAAAAGTTGAAGTTTCGTGAGTGGAAGAATAAATTTCACCAGTTTTTGGGAACTTGAAAATTATTTTCAATTTTTTTCCAGAATGGATGCATTTGAAGGTTGATATAAGACATGACTAAACCATCTGTAGAGACCTCTCGTTATCATCTACCTGTACTACTTGAACCTTCTGCAGAATGTGATCATTTCTAATGCTATCTAATCTTTTTCTGGTTGCATATTCATCTTGACATTGCATTTCTGCGACACTTGTCTTGTTGATATGCTGTACCCTAGAGGCCCAGCATTCACTCCCATATAACATTGCAGGTCATACAACCATTCTATAGAACTTATCTTTCACTTTGGGACTTATCCTCCTATCGCATACCTCTGGTCACACTTCTCCAGTTCAACCATCCTATTTTGATTCTTCATCATAAATTAATTAGTTTTACACAGGCTGTTCATCTACTGCAACCCTCCTTCTTCATCCAAGCTCGTAACCAATTATATGAGCAAACTCACAGAGGCGTATTTTACATAACATAGTGTCAACTTAAAGATTTATGTTTTAAATAAAACCCTTGTTCCTAGAAAATGAGACAGATATTTGTTAGAATCCCTCTCTTTTAGCTTTATCCCTTATCCTGGTTATTTTATCATTTTTGATGGGAACATAAAGGTTATCCTGTGTCTTTTATCATCTAATTGACAATTTAAAAATCTACTTTTAATATTATATTTTCCTTAAAACAAACTTGAATCAGTATGTGACATGTCCATGGCAATTTGGTCAAGTTGGATAGGTCAAAAATTAGACAGGAGTTCGATAAGCTGAAACATAAGAATATGTTGGGACATTTCATAGGGTGCAGCAAAACTTGGAGACATATTTGTTTGGGTTTGTGGCCTTCTTGGAAAATATGTGCTTTCAAATGTGTAATTCATTGTCATCTAGTCTGCAAAGCAACAAGACTATGGGTCTATAACATGCAAGTACACTTAATTTCTGAGCTTTCAACTGGCTAATACCACTTACCTTGCATGTCAAAACACTTTTTTTTTTTTTGCGTAGCTCTTAAGTTTTATTTCATTTACACAGGATGCTTTTATTCTATGGGAATTTCTTGTTTTTATCTTTATCTCTCAAGTTTTAAGTTGTTGATCTTTGCTATAGTTATTTACTTTACCAAGTATAACAGGTGGTACATTTGCTCAGAAACAGCCTTGTCCCTTTGGACTGGCACTTTATATATTCAATACTTGAAGTCTCACGTATCAAAGCTATGGTATGTGTCTGTCCAGCAATGCTTTATCTTTTGAGCGCTTTTTTTTCAATAAGTTCTTGGCTTAAAAAAATGGAGTTTTTGTTCTTGTCCTTGAAATATATGTCTTTTTATTTTTTGTTTTTAAAATCAATGATATCTTCCTTTCAGTCAAAAAGAAGATATAAATGAAGTTTTAGGTGGAGCATACAATAGAAGGATAATTTGCATTACTGTCCAACTTAGATTGAACCTTTTTATGGCTTATGCTTCCTAAACTTTTAGTGGAAGCATGTTGGTTTCAGTTCAACTGCACCGATGTGAGCTTTGCAGTGTCATAGTATCANGTCATATATCATGAATCATATAGACTTTAGCAGACCCAACTAAATTTAGGATTAAGGTATAGCTGATTGATTTTTATATGTTGGCTTCAATTGCTTTAGCGTAAGCAATAAATTGACAAGTGTATTCATTACATGAAAAGTGAATTCTTGCATATCTTGTTACTTTAAAAAGGAAGTTCCAGATTTTGTTGGATGGAACACAGACGAATGGATTTGAATGTGTTCGGTGCATGAAATGCCAGTCCCGCTTTATTGATGTAAGAAGCTTGGCAAAGAGGCCCATTACCCTTTAATCTCTGTTGGCATTGCCTTCACATGTCACATAAGGTTAACTCCTTGACTGAACAATCTGAAAAGAAACCAAAGTAAACTTGAGTATGAATAACCACTGGAGGTATAATTTTTTAGTTGTTATAAAATGGCAGTTGAAGAGATTACTAAGCAATGCTGACCTCAATCCCCGATATCTTGCATTTTTATCCAGGTGAAATTTCATTTTCATTGAACTGTGTTGAAGTTACATTTGAGTGGGAACAAGGAAATTAGACTGACGAGCTGGGAGATAAAATGTGATTTGCATATGTGCACCACTTTTGTACTCAAGTTGCGAGATCGAAAAAATAATGATAAAATAGCCAGGCTGATTGAATCTGCAAGTATTGGTTTTTATTTTGGTTCCTTAAGTTATCTAAGATGAGTAGGAAACTACTTTTGTTGTATAAGAGATTAACAGTGGTAACAGTAGGAAAAGAAGGGACTGCATCATGGTCCCCCAGGGCTTAGTTCAAGTGGCAAAGGTTGAGGGACTTGTGATTTAGGTCACAGGTTGAGCTCTACGCCATGTGAATTAAGCCTGGTATTTAAGTGGAGAAGGGTAGAGGGGCGGGCTCATTATCTCCGAGTTTTGAAGGCTGCGGTTGGTCCTAAGGGTTGGCCCCAGACGGATTTCTCGTTCATAAAAAAAATAGAAAAAAGAAGAAGGGACTGCATGATGAGGACAAAGCTTATGCTGACATGATGACTGTTTTTGCTTCTGTATATAAATTTTATCTGATGCAAACACATAAAAGATGAGGTTGTCATGACAATCTTGCAATTTAAAAAACGTAATGATGTCAAATGTGACAATGGCTTTGTTGCAGGTGGTCATATGCAATTGTGATATTGCTGTTAGCTGCTTTATCTATTTGCCTCTTCTTTCTCCTCCTCCTCCTCCTATTTCATAGGTAAGATTTCTCGTTACTGGTATGTAACTCTTGTTACTTAGTGGTATTTGGTAGTTCAGATTTTTGTTGGATCTATTAAATTTTTTTTTTTTTTTTTTTTTTTTTTTTTTTTTTTTTTTTGATAAAATAAAAATTTTATTAATAAAGGTACCAAGAAGGTACTCAAAAGTACAACCAAACAAGACAGCCCCTACAAAAGTCTCTAGTTACATATTTCCAAATGAGTCCAAAAATTCCATATACTGATCAATACTCTCAGGGGTCGTTTGGTACGTGGACTAAATTATCCCGGGATTATAATCCTTGGAATCCCTGGACTAATTTATCCCACCAGGGAGGTCGTATAAAATAATCCCTAGTTTGATGGGATAAGGTGGGATAAGATGGGATATTCAGTATTAAGTCTGGGATTAAATTTATACCATGTTTGGTTGATGGTATAAATTTATCCTCTGGGATTAAATTTATACAATGTTTGGTTGATGGTATAAATTTATCCCAGGATAAATTTATACCATCAACCAAACATGGTATAAATTTAATCCCACACCTTATTCCACCTTATCCCGCGTACCAAACGACCCCTCAGGTATACTCCTTTTACACCCAAAAAAAAAAAAAAAAAAAAAAAAAAAAAACAGATTTTGCAAACAAAGGTTCCTGACTCTAGAAATGTGGTTCTTTTTATTCTTGAAATAAGCACTATTTCTCTTTGTCCAAATAGTCCAGAAGATGCATAAACGGATGGTTCTCCAGATCTGCTTTTGTATACTTCCAATCCTCTGCCCGTTCCAATTTTTAAGTTCTTACAAGTCACGCGTGTTAGTTTCTCAACATGTTGCCTGGCTCTGTTTTCTGTAGGTGATTAGGAATTCATGGATAAGGGATGTACTATTGTCACAATTCATGTTCGTAAAGAAGTAGAAATGGACTCTATATCACTTCACTTTGATCTTGTGAGATAGGTCACAACACATTCGAACTAAGCTAGGAAGAACTTTGGGCCAATCTGTTACATGCTATCTGTTCTAGTATGGTTAACGGTAGATTAACTTGCTGGTCCAACAGCATGGAGAAGCATCAGTAGTTCTTCTTTAGTCTTGTCAATTAACTTTTAGCTGATCTTACTCAGAACATAAATTTCAACCATCATAGTGAAAAGTGATACGGAGTATCGTATGCTCTTTTCAGTATCGTTAGCTGAACATGTGAAGTTTGCACTTCACGACATTTCTAAAATGTAACTTCAGGAATAATAACTGGACTTTTACATGTTTCTTGGACAGCTATCTTATTTTGACAAATCAGACCACCTATGAGCTCGTTAGACGACGGCGCATCCCCTATTTGAGGTTGGTTATTTCTTCATTCCTTGTATCATGTTATATTGTTGAGATGTAGCAGGTATGTCTCAGGATTGCTTTGAGCTAGTGCTTTTAATAATATGATGGCATATATTGGCTTAACATGAATTGCGGATGTAGGGATTTTGAGTTATTTAGATTGATATTAGAAAACCAAATGAAGACATGCACGGCCTTCAGGATTTTCTTGTATTCAAGCGCAAATTGACACTTACAATGATTTGCAGGAACATACCGGAAAGAGTTTTTCCATTTAGCAAAGGAGCATGCAGAAATTCATACGAGTTCTGCTGTGCTCGGAGCAGCATGTACAGGATGGAACCACTGCCAACAGCACAAGAACTTCAAGAGAAGTCAAGACCCTATACATGCTTGGATTTTTTTGCTTGTCGGTGTTGCTGTTGATCACTTCTGCTGCAGCTGTGATTGAAATCAAAATTTTACCTCGGTTGTACTGGTATGAAAGTCTATGCTTTCTAGGAGTCTTTATCTCTATTAGAAATTCTTATACCAATAGGAAATATAGAGAATTTGTAGTTACTTTTCGTTTTTTTTATATTTTTTGTAATGATGGCCTGAGATGAATTTAAATGGGGAACATGGTCAGTGAGGATTCAAATAGCCAACCCCAACTTTGGGATTGAGTCATAGTTGTTGATTATACCAGTGTGAAAATTCTTTGTCAACCATTGGTTTGTGGTATCAATGTGATGATACTTACATAATTTCACCTTTATTTGTGGAATTCACGGTATCTCCTTAGCTTTTCAAAATGATGTGGAATCTAAACTTGACCCACGTTTAGGATCGCCTTGTTTCCAATTTAAACATGGATACATTGTGCTTACTGCTAGTCACTGTGCCGCCAAAGCATCAGGGGGCTGGTCTGGCCGGTGAACCATATACCGCATTATCAGGGTCCACACCTATCCCCTCAATCAGGAACCAGGAACTGACCCGGTCCGGACTGGTCTCGGCTCTCTGCCCCTTTCCCTTGAGAATAAAAGAAAGAAGAACAACTCAGTTTTTATAAAAGTAAAGAACGACCCAGAGATATTTTAACATTACAAAAATAGTACTACGTTTGATTATTTGCTTGAAAACTGCTATTCTTGAAAAAAGGAAATGTTTGTGCATCTTCAAAATTAAAATCCATTTCTCTTGCTATTACGCTCTAGTTCATGTATATCAAAGGGAAATCTAAGGTAGGTTTTACAGATTCGAGAAAATCCACTACTTTCACCTCGAACTATGCATGTATGTTGTATATATATACATATATACATGAATATTTTTTAAATGTATACACATAATTAGATCATACTCAATGATTTTGTCCGCTAACTCTAGATTATGAATTCACTTTTAATAGAAATGACTCGTTAGAAGTGTATCTATACATCACAGCTGCAATAATCCAAACATCTTGAGCTGCATATCCATGCACAAGACCTGCACTATTAATTCTGTACTGACTAATGAGAAAGTATGTTGAGAAGAGAAACCCTAGTGCGGATCAAAAGTCTGAACAACTGCTCCAATCCATTTTCACAATCTACCAGGCTTGAATCCAGAGTCTCCAAATTTCTTTGTGCAAATTCGATGTTTTCTGCTTCCCCTTCCTTATGGAGCAGCAAGTTATTCAGGGAAATATCCACATTTTCCAATTCGCTCAGCTTTTTTCTCTGCATTTCACTCGCTAATATCCCTTTGTGCACAAGCTTTGAAACCAACAACCATTTATTTAGTAGGCTTTCTTTTCAAGACTGGCATTGAAAAAAGTGTTAGAAATGATTGAAAAGTTGAAATGGTTACAAATTTTGCTTCTACAAGGACCCTTATTATGGAACAAAGCTGGGATTCTGAACTGAACAGAGTACTCGTGGTTGCCATTGCGTTATCTATCAACTTCAGCATTGTGAGGGACTTAGTAATTTCCTTTCGAGTGTTTCTTCTGGATGATATGTAGTCCGTCACATTGCTTTGGATTCTTATATGATCCTTCCCACTTTTGCTTCTTCGAAGCCCTGTTTGGAGTTCTCTGAACCCTACCTTCATCAACATGATTGTGTCTCACGTGTTGCTGCAGATATCTATGAATCTAACAGATAGTTCCAACGACTCCATCACCAAATTATCGTCTTGATCTTGAAGAAGAGCCCGTTGTGTCATTGGCAACACGAGAAATTCCTTTATGCACTTGTACAATTCGACAAGGCCAAAAATAGCATTGTGGGTTATTTCTTCTGCTGCTTTTGGAGAAGAAAATGATGATTCCAAAGTTTTTATCTTGTTAAGGACTTGTTCAATCTTGATTGAGCTAGGATGTGATCTAGCAGGAAAGCTAACAGAATGGGTACGATGATGACTATGAGAATGAGACCTTGTTCCAATTGTTGAGAGGTTCATTTTTGGAATTTAGTTTTCTTCTCAAAATCAGCCTTTTAGTTCCTTATATATCTGCAAAGTTCTTGGAGAGGACAAAAGATTGGATAAACGAACAATTGATTTGGAATTTAGTTCTCTTTTTTACTGGATATTATGCGTATGTGAAGCCAGTGAGGGTTTTTCTTTTATAATGGCTTATCTTGTAAAGCCTTAAACCAACAAAACAAGTATCATTCTCATATTCTATCAGCCTTTTGACATAATGACATAGGACATATCTCGTTTTAATTTAGAGATTTATTCTGTACAATCTAGAGCTTACCAAAAGGTTCATTCATTCAGAAAAATAGGTTGGCTTAGATAATGTAGGAGGGTTTTCCGAAGTTGTCTGGATTGGACGAACTTTGGCATTATTGGACATTAAAGCATACAGATATGGCAGGGATTGCATTCAGAGATGGAGTTAAATCATAGAGAGCTGCTTAATGACCACGCTAATTTGGCCCAATTGTTGCCACACTTGTGAAATGACTACCATGACCTCATTCGAATTTCTCCCAACAATTTTTCCTCCAAAACACAATAGTAAAATATAGTAACTTATTCCTATTCCCAAATACATTGAGCAACATGAAATCATTTATGTTCCCATACAAAGGAAGATGAAAAGTCTCTACATTCATTGTGTATTTTATGTGTATAGCAAATTATTGTATATTTAGAAAAAAACAAAATTTGCTATACTAAATATGAATTGAAGAGCCGATCACATAAATGGCTATAATCCTTTCATTATTTTTCTTAATCTAAACATGAATTCAAACAAAGAAAATTTGGCGGTGCAAGAAAATATGAATCCAAACGAAGAAAATATGAAACAACAACCATGAATATGAACCAAGATAGTAGGTTTGATCGAGTTAGGGTGAGTTGTACAGATCTTTAGGGATGACATCGAACGACAATTTGATGAATGAATACGATTGGGTCAATGTTGATTCACACTGCAGTTTCAACAATGTTGTACCTTTAGATAGATAGAGAAGCCGATGAAGAATACTATAGAGATGCTGAGGATGATGAAGAGCACTTTTTACGAAACGAGTTAGAAGAATATGATGTTGATCGGGAAATGGAGGATGATTTCACCGAATAGGATGTGGCTGCAGGTCCAATTTTTGGAATGCGATATAGAGATAAAGATTCTTTATTTGCATTCTACAAAGAACATGCATGATTGAAAGGATTTTCTATCGTCAAAAGAAATTCCAACAAGAAGGGCAGTGGCACTGCTAGGTATATAACTTATTGTTGTGATAGGGCTAGGATTCGCAAAACTAAGTTTACCACCAAGAGTAACAATTGTAAAGCTAGGGTCACTGCTATTTTGGATGATTTGGTTGTTGGCGTGTCTCTAAGGTCGTTAATGAGCACAATCATGATTTCCTCCCTACCATATCACAATTGATGGCTAGACATAAGCCATTAGTGATTCTTTGAAGAGGGATCTTGTAGCTCACGATCGATCTGGCATTAGAGCCTCCAAGAATGTTAGACTTGCTAAGGTTCAACGTGGTGGACCATAAAATTTGGGTTGCACTCTAAATGATTGTAGAAATGTTATTTTAAAGAGTAAGAATTTTAAAATGCAAGAAGGGGACGCACAATCATTGCTCGACTTTTTTCGTGAAATGCAGGTAAAGGATAGGGAGTTTTTCTATTCAATAGACGTTGATAATGTTGGTAGGCTACGAAATGTGGTATGGGTGCATTCACACTGTATATCGGCATATGAGCAATTCCATGATGCAATATGCTTCGATACGACGTACTTTGTGAATCGCTATAATATGCCATGTGCTTCATTTGTTGGCACCAATTGCCACAGACAATCCATACTACTAGGATATGCTCTCATGTCTCATGAAGATATGGATAGTTACAAATTGGTTTTTAGAACTTGGCTTGAGGCCATGGGAAATGTTCATCCAGATGCTATCATAACCGACCGGTGTCCGAGCATTAATCCATTCAATGCTGAAGTAATACCACATACAATACATAGGTATTGTATTTGGCATATATTCTCGAAGCTGCCTCATTACTTAAGTGGGGTTCGTCATTCTAAAATTGCACGTGGAGAATTTAAGTCCATACTGTTGAAGTTTTTGAAAGTGGATAAAATATATTGCAAAGTATAATTTGCATACAAGGAATTGGTTCAACAAGCTTTACTCTGAGAAGGAGAAATGGGTCCTTATGTACCTTAATGTGTATTTTTGGGCTGGTATGCTATCTATGCAAAGAAGTGAGGGGATGCATGTGTTCGTTAATAGATATATTACCCATCATATCACCCAGAAAAGGCTTTACAAGTTAGCTATAAAGGCTAAGCATGAGAAAGAGCTGGAAGTAGAATACAGGTGAAGGGGCTTTTAAATTGTATGTGAGTCACAATTCAAGTGGGAGGAACATGTAATTCAGTGTTATACTCGTGAATTATATGAATGTTTCAAGATACAGTTAAAGAAATTATATCATTATTGTCACGACCCAAAACCAACTTGTCGTAATAGCGCCTATCATGGTACTAGACAAGTCGACTACGCAGACATTTACAACACTCAAAAACTTTGAAAGATATGGAAGCAGTTAAAATTAAGGAAAACCTTTTTAAAACAGAGTAAGAAATCATAATTCCATACAAAGTCTCTCCCAAAATCGGGGCATCACCGAGTACGTGAGCATCTACATAAAAATACAATCTAATACACAGTCTAGGAAATAAAAACTGAAACAGAAAATGGAAGATAAAGAGGGAGATTCAAGGTCTGCGAATGCCTACCAGCTACCTCGATAGTCTACGAAAATCTTAACGCCACAACTCAGTAACCGCCGTGACCGAAAGCACCTGGATCTGCACACGAGGTGCAGGGTGTAGCATGAGCACAACTAACTTAATAAGTAACAAATCTAACCTTTGGACTGAAAGGTAGTGACGGACTCAGCATGTACAGTTTAATATAGAAATAACAGTACAGAAATGTAGGCATACTTTCAAGTTCAATAGTTAAACTCAATTCAAATAAAATAAATCAAATTCTGAATGATATGGGGAGTATGACCTCTCTACATCTACATGCCAATGCACATGTTGTATGTGATGCACCACTCTAAAAGCCTCGTGTACTCACACTCCCAGAATACTCAGTCACTCAGTATTGTATATGGCCAATCCAGCCCAGGGAAGATCTATCCCCAAATATAAATGATTCGGACAAGATCCATGTCCAGGGAAGATCTATCCCCAAATATAAATGATTCGGACAAGATCCATGTCCAGGGAAGATCTATCCCTCAATATAATCAACTGCGCTCACATGGGGTGTGTACAGACTCCGTGGGGCTCCTTCAACCCAAGCGCTATAATAAGTCAGATCTAGGCATAAATCAATAAGTATGCTACGACGTGCAGCCCGATCCCATAACGGTCACTCTCAATCAGGCCTTCGGCCTCACTCAGTCATCAATCTCTCTCGTCTCTCTCTCTCTCTCTCTCTCGGGCTCACAATGTCGTGAAACTAGCCAAAAATGATGATATGATATAGAAATAAATAGCAACGGAGACTGAGATATGATATGCAATGAATAAATATGACTGAGTACGAAATTTCAATGTAATCAATAAGTCGACAACAAGAATTGACCACTATGGGTCCCAACAGTACCAGCATACAGCCTAAACATGATTTCTAGTATGATTGGCAGCTCAATTACTTATCACATGATGAAAACACGGATATCAACAAGATAAATCCACTATACAGTTCCAGGGAATCGACTAGATCACAGTTCTTATGGTGCACGCCCATACATCCATCACTTGGCATGTGCGTCACCTCAACACCAATCATATAATACATAATTCGGGGTTACGAACCCTCAGGGCCAAGTTTAGAAGTATTACTTACCTCAATCCGAGAAAATCTCTACTCCAACACACCCTTGCCTCGCGAGACGGCCTCTAAATGCCTCGAATCTAGCCACAAATAATGTGGTACAATCAACACGAACTAAAGGAATCAATTCCATAAAAAAAATACTAAGTTATAAATCAAAAGTCAAAAGTTAACTCAAAAGCCGGCCCCCTGAGACCACGTCTCGAAATCCGATAAAAGCCACAAAACCCGAAACCTATTCAATCACGAGTCCAACCATACCAAAATTTACCAAAATCCGACACCAAATCGTCACCCAAATCCCCAAATTCAACTCTTCAAATCACTAACCTCAAACTCCCAAATTTTATCTTAAATACACACAAACTAGGTGGAAAATTCAATGGGGAAACAAGATTATTGATAAAAAATGAGCACAAGGGACTTACCTCAAGAAATCCCTCAAAACTAATCTCAAGAATCGCCCAAACCCGAGCTTGAAATGTCTAAAATGAAGCAAAATCGCGAACCCTCGAATTTAAGTGTTCTGTCCAGCCCGCAAAAACTTAACCGCATCTGCGGTGTCGCAGAAGCGACATTCCACCTGCTTCTGCGGTGAACCACTGGAGCTGGGCCTCCGCTTCTGCGGTCCTCGCCCTCGCATATGCGCAATCGTAGGGGCGGATTTCCCATCGCACCTGTGCACCCTTCGCTTATGCGCCTATCACGCCGCACCTGCGGCCACGCAGGTGTGGAAAATGCCTCGCACCTGCGACCACATTTCTCCCCAATCTTAGCCGCATCTGCGCTCCTCAGCTCGCACCTGCGATCAAAGCTCCGCATGTGTGAATACACTAGCAGACTCCCTGCTTCAGCCATGCAGCAAGGCCCATTTCCGATCCGTTAACCATTCGAAACCAACCCGAGGCCCCCGGGACCTCAACCAAATATATCAACAAGTTCTAAAACACAATACAAACTTAGTCGAGCCCTCAAATTACCTCACACAACATCAAAAACACGAATCACACCCCAATTCAAGCCAATTGAAGCTAAGGAAATTTCAACTTCTACAAACGACGCCGAAACCTATCAAATCACGTCCGATTGACCCCAAATTTTGCACACAAGTCACATTTTAAATTACGGACTTACACCAACTTCCAGAATCGGAATCCGACCCCGATATCAAAAAGTCCACTCCCGATCAAAATTTCTAAAAATCCAATTTTTGGCATTTCAAGCCTAATTCCATTACGGACCTCCAAACCACAATCCGGACACACTCCTAAGTCCAAAATCATCCAACGGAGCTAACGGAAC